TGGGGCTGATCTTGCTGCTGTGGCACACGCTGACATCTGTGAGCTCAGGAAGGTTCAACCCACGCACGGCATGCTCGACCTCCGGGTTCAGGACAGGGAATTCAACAGGGATTTAGGGTTAAGGGCTTATAGGGTTTAGGGTTTAGGGTTTAGGGTTAGGGTTGGTGTTATGTGGTTCATAACGGCTTGTCTACTGGTTTTGCGTGGGGTTCCATGCCGTGGGTGGGTTTTCTTTCGGGAGGCGGGAAGTGTTCCAGGTAGCCTCAAATTGTCTTAAACCTTGAACCCCCAAATCCCACCAAGAAGCCTAAACGGGCCTAAACCCTAAACCCCTAAACCCTAACACGCGTAATCCCCCGCTTCGCAAACCCAAGCAGGAGACGGTCCAAGGTCATACATGCCAACACCCCTTCTTGCAAACCCTGCTTAGAGGATCATGGGACTACGTAACTAGAGCTGTACGTAAGATAACTTTTGCTTATAGCCCGAAGTAGCTACTATGTACAGACATGAGCCACCCCAGAAAGGTACTGTTTGTATACTTGGAAGATCATGGGACTTAGTAAATAAGGATATCAGTACCCTAATTGGGGTTATACATTTTCTTTGACTATGGCTACCTCATTTGTAACCCTAGTACCAAGCATGCCCATATACTCTAAATCCCGTTTCCGTACATCCTACCAACAAGATGGACAAATCCGCACCGGCGTTTTTCTGTGTAGCCCCACCTGCTGAAAAGCTTAGATACCTTGAAACATAACACCCAAATCCCAAGCCCACTATCCTATAAGGCTTCGAACAGCCCGAAGTAGGTACTATTTTTACGCATAAGAGCCCCAAATGGGTACTATGTGGATACGTTGAGGGTCATGAGACTTAGTAAGCAAGGTTATAAGGACTTTAATTAGATCTACCCTAAACCCTAAACCCTAAACCCTAAATATACGTAGTCATTTAACGATAGTGATCTACATACTTACCACCCTAGATACTAAGTCCCAGGATCCTTTAAGCACTTGGAGCTTCACGGCTTTTTGGCGCAAACCTAAAAATCACGTAAACCCTAAACCCTAAAACTCCTTGAAACCCTAAAACTCCTTGAAACCCTAAAACTCCCGAAAACCCTAAAACTCCCTAAAACCCTAAGCTCCCTAAAACCCTAAAACTCCTTGACACCCTAAACTCCCTAAACCCTAAAACCCCAAACCCCTCTCTACACCCTAATCTTCTGCTCCGCCCGGATGGCCTTGCTGACGCAGGAGCCGCATTTCATTCCCAGGACTTCAAACTCCACCTCACAGGGTTAGGGTTTAGAGTTTAGGGTTTAGGGTTTAGGGTTTAGGGTTTAGGGTTTAGGGTTTAGGGTTTAGGGTTCCGGGTTCAGGGTATGAGGGTCCGAGCGCCCAAAGAGTAGGATCCTAGGTACCAAAAATCATTTAGAGTATGGAAATCTTGGACCTTAACCCCACTTTTCGGGTACTGGGACCCGCTTGGAATTAGGATAGCCCCTGCGCACTGGCAACTTGATTGGTAAGTTGCTAAGCTCCCGAGGGTTAGGGTTGCGGCTGCAGCTTTGCACAAAAAGAACACACGAGTACTAGCATTTCAGAAATCCGAGCTTCTGGTATAGGATATGTAGGGTATTACGGCTTAATGTTGTGGGGTTATGGGGTTTTAGCGCTTCGGGGCTTCAGGGCGTGGGGGCTGTTGGGTCTCTGGTTTAGGGTTTAGAGTTTAGCCAGCTAATTGCCCTAAACCCTAAACCTTAAAACTTAACCTTGAGCATGTTGGACTCGGATGTTCCCTCAATTCCCGATTGCGGTTTTCTGTCCTGGGTTTCGGGTTCAGGGGTTTTGGGTTTAGAGCTTTAGGGCTTTAGGGGTTTAGGGTTTTACGGGGTTGAGGGGTTTAGGGAAGACGGGCAGAGTTCATGCTTACCTGCATCTTCCTGGCCTGGTCATAACGGCATATGTACAGAAAGATCTATGGTGTCGATGCTTCCGGATCGGGTTCGGCACAGTGCAGGTGGGCCGGTCTTGTGGGTATCACCGGATGCGTCCTCAAACTAAAAGCACTGAGCATCAGCACCATTGTGAAATCCCGGGCCCTCAATTCACATGATCCCGAACTCTAAACCCGAAACCACAGCCAAGACAGCCATCCAACCACCTGAACACAAAACCTGCAAACCCTCCAACCTTGAGCATCCAGTGAACAGCCCAAAGCCCTGAAACCCGAAACCCCGAAATCCCAACAGCCATGAACCCTGGAACCCTCAACCCTACTTTTGTGTGCAGTACTTTCTTTTGATTACTTTAGTCTCTTCCTAACCATAAAAGAGTCACCCAATAAATGGTACTACATTTCAGGGTCCAGGTAAACCCTAGAAGGCCCTCAACCCTAAACCTTAACCCTATTAGGCCCTAAACCGTACCCGTCTCTTGCCCTAAACCCAAAACCCTATTAGGCCCTAAACCCTAAACCCTAAACCCTAACCCTAAACCCAAAACCCTATTCGGCCCTAAACCTGTACCCCTCACTTGCCTCCAGGCCCCCAGATGCAACGTGAGCAGCAGGAGCGGAAGCAGCAGGCGCGGCCGCCTCGGAGCCTCACGGACACACTTTACAGGGCTTAGGGCTTTAGGGTTTAAAGTTTAGGGTTTATAGGGTTTAGGGTTTATAGGGTTTGGGGTTTAGGGTTTAGGGATTTACATAGGCTTTGGGATTTAGGTCCAGGTAAGTTTTACGGTCGCAACCTTCGAGCCCCGCCTGGCACAGAGGTGGCGTTGTCGCCCGTCCACTCCGACACCTCAAAGTCCAATGCCTGGTCTTCAACTGCTTAAAGGACCAGAAGACAGGTCAGAAGACGAAGTAAGTGGTTGTATATACAGAATACATGGAGGTATCCGAAAATAGGGGACCCTAGGATAGTACCTTAAATAAGCGGATCCTTATTATAACGACCCCAAAACAAGGTACCCTAATTTTCGGAAGATCCCACATGGGACAACAAGTGATGATCTGCCCTAGTTGGGGATATCTTGAGCAGAAGTCTTGGACATGGGGGTGTAAAACTTTCGGGTGTTACGGCTGATGTTCTAGGGTTTAGGGTTTAGGGTTTAAGGTTTAGGTTTTAGGGTTTAGGGTTTCTAGGGCCAGGAAATAGTCCTGCTGCCCATGTGGGCAAGCCCTGTACGCTGCAAAGATCATGTTTCGAAAGGCTGCAACGGCTCCCGAAATGGAAGCTTCCAAAAATTAGGGTACCTTATTTTGGGGTCCTTATAATAAGGGTCCTACTATTTAGGGCACTATATTAGGGTCCCCTATTTTCGGAAACTCCCGAAATCGTAGCCTCTGGGCCTGCAAGGCTTGTCTTAATGCTTACGGTTGGGGGTTGGGGGTTTAGGGTTTAGGGTTTAGGGTTGTTGGGGGTTGGGGTTCAGAATTGTGAGAGTGATGTTTTGAGTCGAGGGTGTTCTTTAAATAAGGGCTCCCGTTTAGGCAACATTGGTGCTTTATGTACTACACTTACACATCAGAAACATCGGGGCATGGCATACGATCGTGGTATGAATATATCGGACTGTACGCAGATATTGTAGGTTCAAGCAAGTGGCATTCTTGTTGGCGTGCGTCGTCATAGAGCTATAGGACTCTCTCGTCTGGAACTCAAGAGTTTGAACGGCGCACACCGCGGTCTATCCAGTTCCGAACATGTCCCTCAAGCTGATAACACACTGGAGGCAGCTTTCATCTATTTGCTTGAAAATATCTCTCAAAGCGCTGATATTGTGGCTTCGGGGGCCCTTCCTCGGGAGACAGGCGATACAAGTTTCACCGGCCAGGCTTGCGGAAAGCTCAGGTTGTTTAGCAATCGGTCACTCATCCTTGCTGGGGTGTTTTTCTGGGAGGGATTTGTCTGCATCATAACTCTACGAGGCTTCGGCTTTAGGACTTAGGGTTTTATCTCTACCAGGCTTTGCGCTTCGGGTTGAGACTCTTCCACATGCTCTGGACGCACCTCGATCGCCGAGGTGATTTTCGCCGCTGCAGCTCGTTTGTCTGAAACCTTCGCAGAACTCACCTGCGCCGATGCTGTCTCACATATGTGTATGTGTATCTATATGTATATATACATACAAACATGCGTACCTACTTGTAATATACATATATGTGTGTATCTTTGCGTACGTGATATATATATATATATGGGCGTTGATCTAAATTAACATATCCCCGACATGGACTTCTTCACGAAAATATAATTTTCTTTAGCGCAACTTTCGCCCTGACTTTCGCGCGCCCTTCGCGGTCACATATTCAAGTATATATTGATACATATACAGAGTTTTACGAGGGTCCATG